AAATTTGCCTGAGGCCAGGTGGCAAGAAATCTCCAGTCTTCTAGCCAGAACTGCAAATGGCTGTAGCTACAACAGCAAAAAAACTTGAAGGTGGAGATCCCAGAGAAGAAGGAAACCATGTGGTGAAAAAGGCCACAAATCAAACAACTGGAGCGTTGAAGTCAGTGTATGTCAGTAGTGGGAATGGACTACAACTCTGCCTACACTGACACAGAAAAAGAAATGGTGCTACAAATGAGACCTATTTTCTCAAATCTAGCTGTTGCCACTGTGGTTTCACTGCTTAACAGCTGAGTTACCTTAGGTAAGAGTACTAGGTCTGACTGGGATGGAGTCAATTTCTTCACAGCTAGTCGGTGACCATGCTTTAGATTTGACCAAAACAGGCTGATAACACACCAGTGTTTTAGTCTCTGTTGAGAAATGCTAGCACAGCATCAAGGCTTTCTCTGTTTCTTACCCTGTGAGTGGGCTGGGGGTAGGCAGCAGGCTGAGAGGGGACACAACAGGGACTGCTGACACAAAGCAACCCAAGGGAACCATGCTCAGAGATAAGCGTGGGGGGGAGTTTTCTGAAAACAGCTGTTGCTCTGAGGATGGCTAGTATTGCTTTGCTCGTGGGAGGTGCTGAGGGAGTACTTTTTGCATCACTTGTTTTCTTTTTATTTCTTTCACTTATTAAACCATTTATATCTTGACCCGTGAGCTCGCTTGGCTTTTGCCCTCTGTTTCTCTCCCCTTTCCTGCTGGGGCACAGTGAGCAAGTGACTGGGTGGAAGCTTAGCTGCTGGCCAGAGTCGGTTCACCACAGCAAGCCATGTGAATGTCTGGTTGTTCCCAGACTGGAAAATAACTTTGGAGTTATACAGGTTAAACCACATTAACCTGATGGTAAAGAGCTGGGATGCAACCTGGAGATGAATTTGGATTACCAGATTACATACTACCATCTCTTCCATTTTGAAGAGAGATTTTGAAATCTGGAGAGAGAGTGCAGGAGGCTGAGACTACAGTGAAGAACATTCTGCACAATGGGACAGAGAAGGATACAGGTCCTCACTGGCACTGTCTCATGCAGAAGAGTGGCAGAGCCAGTGCATACAGTCCTCTGCTGTTCAGCTACAATTCCACTAAGTCCAGTGATTCTTAGCTTTATTTTGCTAAGGACCCTACAAACTACAGGTCACTTCTGCTAGGCAGAGAAGGTTAAGCTTAAAAGTGATCAGATATCAGCTAAGGGCTATGAAAGTAGATTCTGCTGTGATGATGTGCATTTTCCAAAGGAAGCTAGCAAACAGTTGCAGGCTCCCTTCACATTGATTAAAATACTTAAGTATCACTAAGCATATGGTAGGTCCGATTTAAAGATTTATGTCCATGTCTGAGGGCAAGTAAGAGAAAGAAGGATGCATGACTTTGATTTCATCGTGAACCTGAGGTTATTTTACAAACTGCAAGGGATTTCACATGATCTGCAAGGGACACATGTGCAGTGACTCAGCTACAGGTCAGAGCCCTATACTTCAGATTAAAGCTACTGCAGTCTCATCAGTGCAGCTACAGGCAGGAGGCCCTACTTTAATCCTTCATGGCCTAAGCAAAAAGCTGTATTGAAATAATGGACTGAATGGCAGCTGTGGATATTTAGGTTATGTGTCAGGGATGAAAATTCTTTCTATTGGCAAGGACAATAAAACAACCCAAGGCAATGTGAAAGCTAGACATCAGACATAGCACTCCCTCTGCTCAAAATGATGGACTAGTCTCTTTCAGCTCATTTTTCTATGACTCGATGAGTGACAAAAACATCAGATGTGAATATTTTTCATAGCCCCCCCCTTGAAGCCAGAAGAAGTGCGTTTTTGTTATTTATTTTGCTTCCTATTTCATTCTCAAAGTTTATATGTTTAAGAGAAGAAACTGTGCTTTAAATATGGCCTGTGAAGGAACATACATTTGCAAAGGTCTAAAAACACACCTGAAGACCCTGTTAGTCATGCAGAACAGAGTGCGGATGTTTGTCTAAGTGCACATTTGCTCAACCTGGCATGCAGGATTATTTACAATAGTGTTCCTTGACCTGCGATCCAAGGGAGCATAGAGGCCCAAAAAACCTCAGGTGGTCCACAAGCAAATAGCACAAGCATGAACAAGCAAATGCACATCCTCTGGACACTGGTAGTATTTCGCAGATGGTGCTTGAGGTCCCCCTCCAAATCCCTGCGTGCTCTTCCCAGTTTAACTGGTTCTCTGAGTATGAGTGGTTATAAAGCAGTGACCCAAAGGGCCCCTGATAACACCTCCAGCCATCCACACCAGGAAAATGAAAAATAGCACTGCAGAGGAAGAGGCAGACAACAGAGATTTCTCTGTTCTTCGTATTTGATACAAAAGAGATGAGCAGAACGGGATCATAATCTGGAGCAGATAGGCTCCAGGGGTTTCATTGGAAGTGAGTGCCTTGTGACTATATAACTGCTTATCATTCAGGAGATTTGGAGATCCTGTCTGGACTTCCTTCTCTTCTCTCCTACCTCACACAAAAAGACAAAATCCGGAAGACTGCAGAATGTCAGATTTGCAGATCATGGGAAGAGAGCATTGTAAAGAGAAAGTGACCTCTCAATAGGAAAAGAATACACACTCCATTGATCAGGCTGGTAAGAGAAGCCAGATTACATAAGCAACCAAAAGCACATTCAGTACAAAAGCATGGTATCAAGCACAACATCAACCAAAGCAGAAGTTGTAAGAAGATGACCCTTTTCAGCTGCTTATGTGCTAATTACAAGCATCTATAAAAATGGATAAAAACTTTGTCTGCAGAGTAGCATTGCTAATGGCTGGAAACTAATGGCTAAATTTTGCTTATTATAATCTCAAAAAGGAATGGTTGCAATGAACTTAAGAAGTCCAGTTGAAAGAGGGGAATTGACTCTTATGTCACATGTCCTGTGTGTCACAAACAATGTCTGTTTGAGTGGCCGAGAACTTGAAAGTAATCTTGGATATTTATGCATCAAGATACATTCAGGTTGAAGTATTACTGGAATGTTGCAGATAGCTGAAATCACAGAACAGGAGGGAACGACTGCCTTCTTCAGTGCCTCTTGCCAGTAAGCTGACCCTTGTCAGTGAGTCATATACAATACGGGCCTTGCAGCACCAAGGGGAATGGAGAACTCAGAATTGTGACCACAGCTTCAACAGCAAAATTACACAGCACATTGCTAAATCCCTTGGTCACCCTACCACATCAAGCACAGCGGGACTTGCTCTCTGCACCGGACAGGGAAAGCAACACACAGGAACAGCAGTGTTTGCACAAGTGCAGTGTCATGCTGGCCATATGACTTAGATGTATGTTAACAGAGGAACTAGACAATTCCTACTGTAAATCTTGTCTCAGTAGAGAACAAATGATCACAAAACAGAAGGTTACTTGTTTACACTGAAAAGGACTGATGCTTTCTTTGCAAATAACTAACACAATCTGCAATCAAATCCAGACCAGTAAAATTTTAGACAGTATATGAACACACACTGCTCATCTATACATAAATTAAAAACAATGTATGCTTCCTGAGAGGCATTATCATAAACTCTAGGAAGTGAGAGTCAAATCAGGCTGGAGACAGAATTTAAAGAAAATTGTTGATGTCTGCATATGGTTTAAGACCTCTCCTAAATATCTAAAATGTTACAACCATGAAAATAAAACTATACTAGATAAAAATAACATACAACGAAAAATCCAACAGCTGGTCTTACCAGGGAAGTGAAAAAATATATTATATATAAAATCAAAACACAAAGAAGAAAAGATAATAGCAAGATAATACAAAGATTACATAAAGGACGCAAGAAGGTACTAGGAAAAAATGAAAACAGGTATAATCAGATTTGTGATTTTTCATTTTTATAAGAAGATTATAAAAGATGGTTCCCGAACAATAAAAGTGGTAGAGTAATTTCTAACAATATGTCAGAGGCAGAAGTTATTTAGTAAATATTTCTGATTAGCACACAGGTAAAAGTCCAGGTATTACTTTCATGATCATGACAAAAAAACTTCCCACTACAGTAGCACCTAGCAGTGGTACAAGATTCTGGGTGTTTCGAATTCTTTGTCTCAGAAGCTTTTGGAGAGCTAGCTTTTGAGCTACTGCTGCTGCTTCTAAAGTAGTTCTGGGCTGCTGGGGAAGTACTGGGGGCAAGAAGGTGGCTCATGCTGGGTCAGTGTTTAAGAAGGAAAAAAGGTAATTACAGGCCAGTTGGCTTGTTTCCAGTATTTTGTAGAGGTTAAAACAGCAAACACAGGACTAGATTAATAATATATATATGCTTTAACAAAGGTCTATAATTAAAGTCAATCAACTTGGCTTTAAGAAAAACAGACCCTGTCAAACTAATCCGATGTAATTTCATACAAACATTACGAGTTCACATGATGAAGGCAGTGCTGCTGACAGTATTAGAAGTCTAAGTCATTTGACTCAATCTGCAGAATATCAAAGAAATTGAATGCTTTGTAGTTCATGTGGAATTTGCTCCATCCATTCATCCATTCAGAGCAGGTGTCCATATATGGAGAGTAATATGTGCGGTCATGCAAAAAAGTCAAATATATTTTATGATGAAGTCATGTCTGAATCCACAGTCATATTAGATGTATTAAGAAGGTGATAAATGAAAGAAGTCCAAGTGTAACTGTAAATGGGAAACTATTAAGAGATGGATTCCTATTGGCTTCCCACAGGAACTAGTGACCATTTATTTGCTATTCAATAGCCTTATCAGCGACATGGATTAAAGTTAAGTAATTACAGTTAGATAACAAGAATGGGGACAGCAAAAAAAAACAACAAACAAACAAAAGTACAAGTCTGAGACAGAGCAAGAGGAGGATCAGAAAGATGGGAGTGAGCAACCAGTATAGGTGTTAATATGGCCAAGTGTAAAACCACTGTGTTAGAGAAAATAATAGAGGCCATACTTACAGGATGAGAGGGAGAGAGAGGACTCTATCCTCTGAAGCAGAGACTAAATATGAGACCAGGCGTCCTGGTGGGTGATCAGCTGAACATGGATTCCCAATGAAACGCTGTGGCCAAAAGGGCTAATGTAAGCCTCAGCTGTAGAAACAAATGAAAAAGAAAAGATGAGTATGTAGGTTACAGTAACTCTGTACTTGACTCCTGTTCTTCTTCTACTTGAATAACGTAGCAGGTTCTGCCACTTCATTTTTTCAAATAAAGTGTTGAAAAAAATGAAGCATGTCCAGAAGAAAATGACGAAAGCACTGAAAACAATGAAGAGCAGAAGGTTTCATTATAATCAAAAAAGGTTAAAGGAAAATGTGTTATTTTGTTCACAGCATAGGCGTATTCATCTGGGAAATAAATTTGATAACTGTAGAGTCTATAGCAAAAGTGGAAAACTCAGTGCAACTGGAAACTAATCCAATCCAGACTGCAGGGGCTTTTTCTTTTTTTTAATTTTCTTTTAATACTAATGATCACTAATGATAGGGGTCGTTAACCACTAGTTAACCCTTCATATCACATGTGATGTACTGTCCACCTCTGCCAGGTTGTGAAGATGCTCATGCTTGGTTTAAGGATGAACATCCACTCAGCTATGGTTAGCGGGACCTCTAGTAGATATTCATAGCCCACAAAATATTGGAGGTCAGGGGAACAATCACAGCATCAGTGTCCTGTGTTTTCAGTAAAAAAAGTGCTCGCTCCTCTTAGGAATCCTGACAGCCTTCCTGCTCATGGCACACTGAATGACTGTAGGGAAAACTCAGTCTTTTGGGGCTGAGGTTCTGTCTTAGTATGAATGGCAGTCATCCCTTTATAGGATCTGCAGACAGCTCTCTCTGGATTGCCACCACTTGACTCGACACAATACTTCACTGCACAAAGTTGCTGACAACTGAGATGACAAGGAAGCGACTTTCTGGAAATCGAAGAAGGTTTTACAGCTCTCTAACATCTCTCTGTAGATAAAACCTGCTAGCCCTTCTTTCAGCAAGTCACTTGATCCACTGTCTGTTGCTTACAGATAGATCCTACTCCACAGCCAAAGAAGGTGACCTCAGGAAGGACTCTTCTCTATCCTGCAGATAGTTCCTCTCCCAGCCTCATCCTTTCAGGATGAACTTAAGAACCAGCCACCTTCTTCAGGAAACCAGCTAGTGTCTCTGAGCAGGCACCCCCTTCAGGACATGCATACCTCCTTTCCTATCACTTGCTGAGGGACCTGGCTGCCACCAAGGAAACTTCTGCTGCTGTGTTCTCAGGCTGGATGCTGGCAGATGGGCTCCTAAGGACCTTGTGCTCTGTGGAGGGCAGTGGCTATTCAATTTGCTTCTAGTACAGCTTGTCAATATCTAGATTTGGTTTTTAAGGACATAGCACAAAGTCTTTGTTCATGCTGTCTGTCTTTACCCAGGCCTTTGGCCAAAAATATTAATACCATCAATGTGTGGGGGGGATAAAGGCTGGGGAATGTTTGATTTGTGCCAGCTTATTTTAAGCTTCTGGGATGAACCCATCTATGATCGAATGCTGCAAAGTACATTCTGCAAATAATTTCAGTTACTTGAACTCAAACTTAGTTCACATATGCTGCTGTGAAGATTTTAAAGGCATTACATTATATAAAAATTTCATTGCAGTTAATTATTCATGACTCTACAGCAAAAACAGCACAGTAAAGTTGTACTACTAGGTTACAAATACAGAGGGAGCATCCCATCTTATGTAAACTGGCCAAAGTACAGAACTTCTATGGAGTGAACTAAACTAAAAAAGCTTGTGAAAATGTTAGAGAAAAAAAGTTCCATCCAAATGTGATATTTATATCACATTTACCTATACCTATACCAGTACTTATATGCACATGCATTCACACACATGCCACCACCAAACCAACTCTGCTAAACCTGGTAATCCTATCAACAGACCTCAAGGCTCAAAAATGAATGTGTGATTGGCAATTCTTTGTTCACTGAAGAGCAAAAATTTTGGAAAAGTTCATCTTGATCAAGATTGCAGAGCTTCTAACAGAAGATGAATCAAAGCTGGATAAAGTACAGTCTGAATAGTGCGTTTTTATACCTTAATGTTTGCCATCCTCCCACATGCATTTTTCTCCCCCTTTCCTCTGGCACATCCCCATCTACATCCCACAGTACCAGGATGTCCTGTTAAGCAGTTGTGCAAGTGTGTTTTTTAGGCCTTCTGAAAGCTTGCTTATGTGAAAAATGTATTATTTTTCCACTTAGACTACAAACATCACATAGCTAGAATCCACAAATTTACTTCAAAAGACAGTAGATGTGGCTAATTCCTAAACATAAATGCATAGAGACTAGATAAAAGCAAGTATCTTTAACATATGGACTGAACAAAAACCTTTTTGAAATGTTAAAGTATAAGCCAAATGCTGGGCTTGTCCTTTTACTCCAGACACACAGAGAGAGAATTAAATGGAAGAAGTAACGATTTGCCTCTGTAACTCACCCAGGCCAGACACAGCGATGCTATGGAAGTTAATGCAATGAACCCCAGAAGTGTCACTTTCACGAATCTCAAGAGGCATCATTGACCTGAAGCTGACTGCAGTTTCTGCCCCAATTCCAGTTTAATGTATTCCAGTTTGACCCTCAAGCGACAGTGCTGCCAGAGAACACGCTAAGAAACAAATGCAGGCAATTGCTTTGACATAATTGTTTTGGACACAGCCAGATCGAAAGTGCTGATGTAAACAGAGACTAGAAAAGGGTTTTACCAGGTCTCCTCTCCTTACCTAAAACCCAGCCAAGCACGTGCTCACCTCTCAGCAGCAAAACTGACACATCTCACTAAGAAATGGATGAACACTTCCAAAGCGTCATATATATATATATACACACAGCATTTGATTTATAGTTTTAACTTATATGATTTCTATATATAATTTGTTCTTTGTGCATGACACACATCTGTTCCATGGATTAAGTTAATTTTAAATTCCAGGAACAGAATAAGTCAGTCCTTTATGATCATAGGACATTGAAAAGAGTCACAACACAGCTCCCTCCCCTTAAAGCAAATTGTTTTTCTTCCTTTTCTCTCATTTTTCCAAACTTTGAGGGGCTGCATGGACCTGCTTTCAACACTATGGTCAGGATGGCACATTTCTGCCCTACCACTCATTAAAACACCCGAGCTTACACAACTTTGAAGCTGCATAGTTTGGTGCTGGAGAACAATGCTTATTTCTTTGCACAGGGACTGCAAGAACAGAAGCTGGGAATATTTTTTTGCAAAGGAAAGATGAATTACGGTATGAATTATGGTCTATCTATGGTAGACCAAGGAAGCTTGAGAATAAAAGACTCAACTAACTGGTCACAGATGCTCCTGAAAAAAATTATGTGTGACAGACAAAGAGAAAAGAACACACAGCAATGGTGTAGGTTTTTGGAACTCATAAGTGAAAACACCAAGGTGGAACAGGGTTCTTCCCTCAGATTTATGCAATGAATACAGCACAAAGGAGCAAATCCCATGCTGATCTTCCCCTCTCTCTTTTACCTCATTTCCTAAGATAGGTTTCCACCTTTGCTACTCTGTTTTCCTTTTCTCCCATTCCTCCACCTCCCCATCAGTCAGTTCAGGCAGATTACCTGTAATTATATCACATAAAACCAGATGAGATTCTCAAGGCTTCCCCTTTCTGTGTACCCAGAGTACTTCCAGCAGAGAAAGTCTTCTGAAAAAATTGATTCTCACTTCCCTTTTCTGCAGTTATTTGTGTGGGTCACTCTATCACAATAGAAGTCTGCATCCAACCATGATAGAGACAGATAAAAATTATAGTTTTGAACATCCCTAAGAAACGAGGTCTTAGAAAGATGAACGAGCACGTATTACAGCCACTAAATTATTTGATTGATCCTGGGCATAAAAACCGGCCTCGTGCAAATAAAAAAAGGCTCCTGTCCTTCATCTCTCACCCTTTGTAGGATCCGCCACCACAGTATGGCCATGAAGTATGATCCACAGCTTGCCTGATCATCGGAGGCTAAAGGGCCTTTTCAGGTATGCTGGGACTTACATAAGTGTTTTGCTGTCCAGGGAATTAGGATTTTAAGATCATCATCATCAGGAGACTTTAGTCACTGTAATGTTATGGTGTCCTGCCCCTTGTGCAGGAAAGAAAATTTTGGATCTGCTACAGCAGAGTCAGATGACAAAGGCTGATCAAAAGTAAGACTGAATGTCCTTAGGAATTCCTGGAATTTCTCACGCTGTTGTGCTAATTTTTAAAGCATTTGTATAGGATGCAAAAGTATGGTTGAAACATTTTCCTAAAACCAGGAATGAGAAAAGCACTTTAATCAAAATAAAAGTTTTCTCGTATTAAATTGGATTCCCACCTCTGTGGCTGCTCTTGCAGTGCAATGACAGGGCAGTTAGCACAGCTTGGATTTAATAGCACCGCCAGACAACTTGAGGAATAGTGTTACAAACCAGCATTATTCTAGGCAGAGATAAATAAAGTATCTGCGCTGCAGAATTAAAGCACAAGGAATAGAGAGGATAAAATACGCATGCAATTTTGTCTAGATACACAGATGATAAAGAAAGAAAAAAAAGAATCAAATGAACCCGTATCATTATGCTGCATGACGAGTGGAGGTTTGTAATTCCTCCCATAGTGCAAAGCTGCAGTTGCTGACAGTCACAGCAGTTATCAGGCAGTGCATGCTCACTGTCTTTTTGGAGCACTGCAGAGCTGATCAGCTGCACACTTTGAATGCTTCCTTAAACATGCTGGTCTAATTGACTTCCACTTTTTAGTGACAGTGGATTATCAGTTATTTGGATGCTGCAGGCTCTTGCAGTATTTTTACAGCAGGAAATGTTTATTCCATATGTAAGAATACTGCACTTACAAGAAATAATGCAGGAAAGGAAAGAGATCTAATTTCTATTCTGCTTCCTTCCTTCTGCAGCATGCCGCATTGAGGTGTTTGTTCCAAAACACTGATACTAGTTCAAGGCCAAGATTTTATTTACCCTGATCCTACAAAACAAGCCTGCAGGTAAATCATGTTCAAGCATCTCAAGCTGTTGTA